CATGAACATATTACATTACTATATTATAAAAACTAAAACACATTTTATGAACATCTCAATAGTTACATACATTAAATTGTTTTAAATTTATGCTGATCGTGCTCTTATCAGATGGACGGAAATTAAAAAATAACCCTTATGAAAAAATACACTCAATAGAAAAAGTTACACTCAGTGTAAACCACTCAATTTGATGGTTATTTCGGACCGTCAACGTATGATTGAGTGTATTTTTTCATAAGGGAAGTGAAATAAATAAACTTTATGTTATTATATAATAATGTTTAAATTAATAGATGCCGAAAAGCTTTCGGGAATTATCTTCACGGCAAAAAAATCGGCGTCTTCAAGCATATGAAAGACATGAGCGTCAACCAATTGTACATTGTGTCGATAGACCTACAATCAGTATACAAGTCGCTAGTTCAGAGTCACTGGCTCATGTAAATGTGCCTACAAGGCAGTGTATTCTACCTGATGACTCTAATTCAAATAATACCTCGAATATATTTTGTACCGACGTTGCAAGTTCTCAACAGGGAGATGAAGAAAATATCGAAGAAAATATTAATAAAACTTTAGAGCTTTCAAATTGGTTACGTTCCTGGAAACTAAAACATAATATTACTCACACTGCATTGTCAGAACTGTTGCGTAAATTGCGTACATGTGGTTACTTCGATCTACCAATGGATGCAAGAACACTTTTAAATACGCCGAGAAATAGTATCGTAGAAGTATCGGCAGAAAATGGAAGTTTTTTCCATTACGGTTTGAAAAAGGCAATAAGTGAACAATTAGCACGCACCAAGTTTATGGTGAAAAATGAAGTTATTTTGATAGACTTGAATATAGATGGACTGCCAATATCAAAAAGCAGTAAAAGTCAAATTTGGCCAATATTGGGCAAAATTTACGGTGACAAGGCATTTACACCATTTGTAATTAGTGCTTATCATGGGTACTCAAAACCATCTTCTGTAGATACATTTTTAACACCTTTTTGCCAAGAATATAATATTCTCCGAAATACAGGACTCATTTTCGACGAGAAAAGGTACACTGTACAAATTAGAAGTGTAATTTGCGATAGTCCTGCAAGAGCATTTGTAACTTGCGTAAAATCACACAATGGTTATTTTGGATGTGGAAAATGTATGCAAGAAGGCACCTATTCTAACCATCATATGTTATTTTTGGAATCTACTGCACCTCTTCGAACTGATCAAAATTTTAACATTAGAATACAAAAAGATCATCATACTGGTGTATCTCCTTTCGAGTCAATACAACTGCCAATGGTTTCGCGGTTCCCTTTAGATTACATGCACTTGGTATGTCTAGGGGTCACAAAGAAATTGTTGCTATTGTGGTTAAATGGATATCAGACATCAAGATTAAGTGGAAGAAAAATAGCAGAGTTATCGGAAATGTTAATTACTATGTCCAAATGGGTACCGAAGGAATTTGCTCGAAAACCACGTTCTCTAGATGAATTGAATCGTTGGAAAGCAACCGAATTGCGTGAATTTTTAATGTACCTTGGACCAATTGTGCTGCTAAATATTTTGCCTGGAGATAATTTACTGCACTTTAATGCGTTAAATTGTGCAATACGGATATTGTGTCATCCAATTGATTGCTTTCGTAATAATCAATATAGCAGAGATTTATTGATTCAATTTGTAGAAATATTTAAACAGTTGTATGGCGACGATGCTATAATTTACAATGTGCATAATTTACTTCATTTAAATGAAGACGTACTGATATTTGGACCATTGGATAATTTTTCTGCCTTTCCTTTCGAGAACTACATGCAATCAATAAAAAAAATGCTGAGAAAAGCTGATAAACCATTACAACAGTTATACAAAAGAATTTCAGAAAATTGTAATGAAACTTCTCAATATGTTGATAACAAATGTAGTACACCTATATTGAAAAAAAAGTGTTCGAAACTTCCTCCAATGAATTGTACTAATGCTTATCGTATGATTCAATTCAGCGACTTTATGCTGACGAACAAGAAGCCAAACAACTGTTGTTATCTCAAAGATAAAACAATTGTTGTTATTGAATATATTTGTTATAACGAAGAAGAAAGAGCCGTGATTATTGGTAGAAAATTTTTGGCAAAAAATTCTTTGCGCTTCTATCCTTGCGAGTCACAAAATATGGATATATATGTGGTTAAAAATTTATCGGATCTAATGATGTGGCCAATTACAGAAATAATAAATAAAGCCGTTCAGCTTCCATTGAAAGACAAAACTTCCTGGTGTTGCATGCCGTTATTACATTCATCATTAAAATAAAATAACAAGACAGAATGTCCTCATGCTGCTTATTTTTCGTCGTTTATAGTACGTTACTGTACAAAGATAATTATTTTTCAACATTTATAATAATAACATTTATAACACATAATTTTTCAGAATGGCGTTTTACGTTGTGTTATATGATACGTACAGTATAACAGTACCAACTAAATGGATAGACTTTGCGCGATCTACATTTAAAATGCCGAAAAAATGTAAACAGCTTACTCAAGCTTGCATGAAAGAACGGCTACCATGTGATGATTGGGATGAATTCATATATCAGAAGAGCTTTGGTCCTTATGGTTCGTTTTATACATGTGTATCCTACATTAAAATATGAAATGAAAATAATATTCGCAAACATATTATAGAAACGTATCAAAATGCACGGTCGGTAGAAAAAGCAATAAGCGACATATCTGCGTCAGATGACAATATTATTAGGCAGACACAAACAAACAATACTTCAAAGAAGAGGCTTATCAAAAAACGAAAATTCTTTGATGATACATCGAGCGACGAAGGTATTTAACAAATTTGTATAATACATTTTATATTTTAAAGTTACAATATAAAAATTAACAATTATGGAAATTTATAGATGAACCAGAGAAGATTACAATTACAGTACCCTCCAATTACATTTCACCAATAGAAAGCGGAAATGTATCCGATTCATTGAGCCAACCGACTAATAAATTATTAATTAGTAGTCAGTCAGGTTTAAACATGCAGAAAACGATGACACACGATGATTGTGATGAGCAAGAAAAGAAAACTTCAAAAGGTATATTTTAAATTGTTATTATGTAATATAAATTTATGATGAATAAGAATATATATAGATAACGAAATTTATATTATTCATATTGCTTTACAGAAATGCCACAAGTAGTTAAAAGTCTCCAAAAGAAAGCTAAGCCAATAATATTATCAGACGTAACAATTGGTCCTTCTACGAGCAATTTCATTGTTAAAATGCACAGCACGCATGAAGCAAGTTTAACGGAAAATAATGAAAATAATAGAGAAGATTTGGGAAATGAATCAATACATACAGAGCATACATCTTGTTGTGGTAAATTTTCTTTTATTTACATCACTAATAAATATAATGCAAAAGAAAAGCGATTATGAAAAATTTTAAAGCACATTAGACTTACATCCTTATAAGCGTGTTCTGAATACGGGTTATAATATGTATTTTTAAAGTTTAATGTGTGATTTTAATTGTTTGCTTTTTGTGTTTGTTTAGAAAAATGTCGACAAGGATATTCCTCAAAATTTGTAACACTTGAGCGTAAACTCAATCGGATTATTCACTTCTTGGAAAATACAAAAGAAGTACAAAATGAAGTAAGACAGGTTGACTTCTCTCTATTACCAAATTTCCCTCTTACTACGGTAGAACAAGTGGAAGCTTTTAATTCTCAGTTGGAGGACAATAACGTTCGACGACAATTTGTAAGTATCTTTGTCATTTGCAAATTATTAACTCAAATACGCATCATGATTGCTGCAATTGTGGTAAAAGATTTGAAACTCGCTCCACTATATACATTTTCAATAATTGAATATAATTAATTTATAATATTAATTTTGTATGTTTTTTAATACCTAATATAATATGAATTCAGTTAATTTATATAATGTTCAATTAATTTGTTAAAATCATGAATTCAATTAGAAAAAGAGTAAAAGAAATAAATTTTGCAATCAAATAATTCATATATATCATACCATTTGAAATACATTTGTTACAGATTGAAAAAATGTCACAAGTGGGCGGAGAAACTGTACCAAAAAATGTCAGAAATATAATGTCGCAAATTATTGGGTATGAAGTTGCGCAGACATATACATGGACAGGACAAAAAAAGAAGTTATCATTAAGAAAATCGAAACTATCAGATTCAGTAATTGGTATTTATTCTAATTTTTTTGTTCTTTGTTTCTGAACTGCACTGAATTTTTTAGACATTTTTTAACAATGGAGTCCACATTGGCTGTACTGGAGGGTGCTGGGACTGCCGCCCTTGAGTGACAAAATCCGCTCCAATGCAGCCAGTGTAGATTATAGTTTCTAAAAATACGTCAGTGGGTGCTAAACTGTTTTCTCTATTGGAAACAGAAAAGTTTCCCACATCAACCTTAAAAACACATGAATTCTCAAAGAGAAATTTTGGTAAACATTAAAATTTTTTCTCTCTTTCGCTAAACGTCAAATATATTTCTATCCATTTCATTGTAAGCATAGCGATCACTAGTTTACCCACAAAGAGCATCTCATGTATTAAGTGTGTACATGATATCGGAACATTGTAGAAGAACATTGTAGAAGAATAATCAATTCTACAATATATTCAGGCTTTACCTTTTTTGGAAACTGCAATTACTGATATTTACTTTGATTTAATTAAGCTGTTTAATGCTTATGCAGACTTTATTATTACGTTTTTAGAAGTTGTTTTGAAGAACAATAATACTACGATCAGCGAAATTGAAACATACATGCAAGAATGGTTACGACGCTCTGGCGACAGAATAAGAGCATTACTTAAAAAATAAATATATCAGTAAAGTTATCATTTAGAGCCACTTCGATCAACC